TATATATATATATATATATATATATATATTCTAGCTACTGGTCGTGGCAGGTGTCAGATTGAATGCTTTAATCAAGCCTTGAAATCTCACGGGGCAGGGTCCTTTGGGGTATGAGAAAGATTTACACCCAGACACAGCATCAGGTAAAACTGCATAATATTCTCTCCAGAATATGACCACAAATAACAGCACTGAACGAAATACACAAAACCAGATATCAAATGACACACAAATATGTAACACAAAAATCAAATTACCCTTCACACACTTTGAAAATTAACATCGTTCGTTCACTTCGTTTCGAAGTGCCCGTGCACGGTAACTTCTGCTTGGCCAGCACCGTTCAAAAATAACAAAATTTTAAATCCCTCGACTGATGAATACAACAAATTAAATTCCTTATTTTTACACAAAATCTTAGATTTTTCGGTTATAATTTATCGGAACAAATTATTGAATGACTTATCCAACCACAACTATTCACAATTAAGTTTCTCGTCAAGATTACACAGAAATGAGGAACCAATATTTATACTACTTTTCTCGTAACATATTACACATGAATGAACTGTAGTAACGGCGTACAAGATTCTCTTTCAGTTATTTTTGACGTGACCGATGAATATGCCAATATACAATTGTAGCCTTTCTACTGCTGCACTCGTGTCTCTGCCTGCTGTCAATCCCTTTACAAAATTCTGTTACCTTCGTTCCTGCGCACAGTGCGCGGCTCGCAAACCTCGCTTCTTCGCTGTCGGTGACCTTGTCCCAGGTTCGGCTGTCGGCGCTCCACTCTCCCTTCTGGATGTCCCGCGACGTTACGCAACGCTGTCGCCCGGGTCTTCCTTCCCTGGGAATCAGCTCGTACGCTCTACTTGCTTGGCCCCCGGCTACGTACCTCGTCTGATTCGGCTCTTGAGTAGCACGCCGACGCGTGATGTACAGTTCTAGCGCGTGTTACTAGCGGCGTAATTCCGATGTACCTCAACACTTTAGACTTGTGTAGCCCAATTAAAAGTCTTATGACGCTTCATGATAATCTGGCTCCCCTTTTCCTTGACTATTCTTACTTCCACCCTAATCCATTACTGAGCCCAGTTAAAATAACTGTTGCACTACTGTAGATTTCTGTCAAATGTTCTGAACTCCCTTCAACTTTGCTAATTTCAAATTAACTCTGAGCACTCGTCGCACGTTACGACTTCCTAACTTATCACACCGCACTTTTACTCGCGACTGCTCTCTCTAATCCCTATCGACCTGGTCAAACGCACTGGTCTTCTTACCTCGGCGTCTCGTACAGAAAGAAGAAATATGGTACAGCTGCTCCGCTATTTAAGTGGACGTCGTGACGTCACGGCGAACCCTCCCGCGTTTTCGGTAAGCTAGAAGTGCGCCAGAAGAAGTTCACAGTATGGCACCAAATGCGAAATAATTTTGCCGCCAGTGTTCCAAACAGGGTAACAATATAAAGGTATTTGTGTTTTATTGTTAATTAGAAAATAATAAAAACCGGCATGTGCCTATGAATTAGAGCGTCAATCAGGGAATATCTTTTAAGCTCCGGAATCTCTAACCCACTGTTTTACTACGAAAAGTTAAATAAGGAAAGTAGTTAGAGAATCTATATAAATCTGAAAACGACCTATCTATTTAATTTGGTGATTCTGCCGGAGATATAATTAAATTCCTTTTCTCGCATCTAGCAAAACGAGAGCCTAATAAAACGTGTGGAAATAGTGAACTTACAGACCAGAAAAACCAAGACAACTCCATACGAGTATGCCCTCAATGGATCAAGAGAAACTGGACGAAAACACTGGTTGAGGTCTCAATGAGAATTCAGTGCTTACAGAACATTAATGTCCGGGGTATGAATGAAGAAGCATAGCTCTAATTGTTCTAGAATGTAAGACGGTTGGGGGGTGGGGGTGGGGGGGGGGAGAGAGAGCCAGAGTAAGGAAGAGAGAAGGAAAGAGTGGGAGACAGGGGGAGAGGAGGAGAGATGGAGAAGGAAAAGGAGGAACGGGAAGGAGACGGAGGAAGAGGAGAGATACACCGCAGGAAGCTGTTACGTGCAGGAAGATATAAGAGTAATTGAAGGAAATAAAGGAATAAAAACACGCAATATGTAGAGAGATTTCAAAAGCAACGGTATCGAATATATGAATTGACTAGGTGAGCATATGCAATCCCACATTGCAAGACGGTTTGCAGTGTTGCCTACATGCAGGATAATCTTTTGATATTGAGAATATATATAGCTGATTCTTGTGGTAAATACGTTTTTTATTTATTTTTACCAATGTATTGTGAGGAGTCTTCCATAAAACGCTTTTAAAGAGCACCGATTAAAAATTATCATAAAATAAAGCATATTACACTGAATTTGTTTAACTATTCCAACATAAAAGAAAATGACAGATTCATTTATTCAGTTTATTAATACAAGTTTTTAAAGTTCTAACAACCACTATAGGTCTTTTTAGGCTGTATAGGATTTACGTAATTTATTACATGTATATAAATAAAACGAAAAATGACATTGATATTTCGCCTATATTTTCATAAGACCAAATTATTTCCAACTGTAAGAATTCGGATTGTAGTAATCCTGCTCTTACAATCCCCCGCCAATGTATTTCGTGGCCCAAAAGCGCGTCGACTCACCTAGTTGCAAGTCGCGCTTGAGCTCGCGCGCGACCACTGGCACAGGGGGATACATGCGCAGCGTTTCCAGGATGCAGCGCTCCAGGAACTTCATCTGCTGCACGTCGTCGAAGGTCGCTGGCCGCGACGAGCAGCCGAAGATCGACCGCAGCTCCTGCACCGCGCGCTCCTGGCCGCAAGAGGCTCTGTCAGAGCTTTGGCCTTCCCGTCCTCCTCGTCTCTTTCGAAACGGCGCGAAATGAACGGCTTCAGAAAGAATGAGGGGACACTACAAGGCGCCGAAGACGACTAGGGACCGAATTCGCAGGCGATTCTAGAAATTAGTATATTTCAAGCGTACGAATCGTATTTATAAACAGTCCACGTTCTTGAATGAGTGGTTCAATGAGTGAGCAGTCTATCCCATAACAGAGATCGGCGACTCTCTACTCCGCTGACTCCCGACTCCGAGTCAAATATTGTTAATTATGAAAATTATTTTATTACTATAATTTTGAATCGTTCGGTTAACACGATTTTGAAGATGTTAATTTGGTTAAAGAGATAAAAAAATATAATACAATTTTGCCCTATTAACTAGAATACGATTAAAGCTCTAAGCTTGACTTTGAAATACTTATAATATCGAGCATTGTTTCTTAAAAAATACATTAAATTATTTTTTTATTTGAAGATTCTATTTTGATGCGAACAAATTTTCAGACACTTACTTGCATGTCTTGGTGAATGCCCATGAGAGAGAGGAAAAAGCTGCTAGCAGCTGCGGTAGTATCGTGCCCCTAATGACAAAAGACAAAGCATAAATATTATTGCGAGGACACGGCGGATTTCTTCAATAAATTTATTTTAACGCATTTCGTCCAAAAATAGAAAAAAATTATTGTTACATTGTGAAAGAAAATCAACTTTAACGTATTATTATACCTAAAAATATATAGGCATATATTTTTGGAATGGATTTGTTAGAAAAATATTTATCTTAATTATGTAATAGAAATTACAAAATGAAATAGGCAATACATCAAGCATCTTACCTCAAACATGATCGTGTCAACTTCTTCTTTGATTTCATCATCTGTTAGAGCTTGCCCATCATCAGTACTCTCCAGAAGCATGTCTAAAAATGCCAATCTTCTCTTTTCACCTAGAAATTTATTATTATGAACGTTATAAGGGTATATGCGTGATGAATTAATAAACAAACATTTTTCATCGAGATGCAATATGAATACAAACATTTGTAAATAATTTCAATTCTTCAATAACTGATGTTAAGATTAGAAGACACAATCGACGATTATTACTAAAAACGTTGTAGAATATTCAAAATTTATTTTGATTTAATTTTAAATATTTTTGAGTGAAAAAGTGTTTCAAATTCAGAAGAATATGAGAAACAGATAGAACAAAAGAAACAGAATAGACTTCCTAATGCTGTCTATATTAAATGTTCTGTCGAAACTGAATTCCAATATTCTCAAATGAATACGATTTACGTCTGCTGGCCCATCGAGACAAAAATGAGAGTTGAAATCGATTGGTAGTGTTCTGTGAGAGTAGAAATGTTCAATATGACAGTACTGGAAATATCTGCAATTTTCAAGTGGTTTCCTGAATTCGAATCTAAAATAGAATATTACGAAAGAAAACACTTAAAGGCTTCAAAATAATCAGGATATTTCAATAACATTATATAGTCTGGATATAATTGCAATAATTAGAAGCAGATACTTAAATAGGTTCGTGTGAATTCTAAATAAATATGGACTGCTGCTCCCATTTCCTTTTGGACGAAAAGGACTTTTGGAACGACCGGAACTTTGAGTGACGAGCCGACATATAATCTTACAAGCCTGTTGGGGTGGTAGTGGGACGGAAAAGAGCTACCTCATGACGAGATTTAAAAAAGTTTACAAAGAGATGATTAAAATGTAATGTGACATAAAGGATGTGAGTGTTACTCATATTATCATGATTCAGTTCCGTTGATTCTCAATATTCTCTCTCCATTCGTGATTTATTATAACATTATTAACATGCATTTATGTTTAGATAGGCGCTGTTTTATTTCAAAGGAACACTTTCAATGTAATGTATGCCACGTAGTTTAGGACACTTACCCACATCATTCTCATCTTGTTCATCCAAGTCGTCCTTAGGTGTTTGAACCTGTTCAGCGTGGTTTTGCTGCCAGCCAATGTATTCCACTCTAGCCACTTGCTCAGGTAGAAATTCTCGCCAGTTCGCAAGTTGCATTTCTTCTTTCTTCCGGCGAATTACCTGTGAATATATGAAAAATCTTGATTATTTTTTGTGAATTTATGGCATCAATACAATTTTTTCAAACACTCTTCTTAATTGGACAATAATTTAATCAAAATTGTACTCATATCCAAGCTAATGCAACTGAATACAGGCTGGTAACTCGAAAGGCACCAAACTTGATTAGAATTTATCAAAATTAAGTCTCAATGATTAGCGACTGTTTTTTTAGTTTTTTCCTTCTTTCTACAGAAAGCAGAAAAAAAACTAAAAAACATCAGGAATTTGGCACAAAAGAGAAGCGAGAAGAATATACATAACACTATTAATGCTACATTAATCCTAACCATATACATAAGAATATACATAACACTATTAATGCTACATTAATCGCAACCCTACGAAAACACCAATATTTAAAATTAAAAATAATAATAATAATAATAATAATAATAATAAAGTTACATATACAATAACAAACGTGTAATTGTCGAGTCAATCCGATGTCTTGGGTGGAAAGAGTGAAGTTACATTACTGTCCAGAAGCGAAACCAGGGGCCATCTCAGCATTTGGTCAAGGGATCAAGGAAACTGAACAAAAAACGTGATCGAGATGGGGTCATTGACAAAGTGGGGGAAGACCTTAAACGCATTTAACACTGACATTACTACATTATAGAGCGTTTTCCCAAAGAAACCACGCCTTATCTTCTGTGAAAACCTCTGGCAATTACAAAAGAAGATATGAAGTGATAGTGAAGGAATGAGGGTGGAACTAGCAGTAAGATTATAAGGGTTTTTTGATATTCAGTAGCCTCATACAAAAATTCAACAGAAAGACACTGTTACCCATTACTGCTTTGGATAGAGAGGGTAGGTAAGTGGTACGGGCTGTAGGGTGGCGTTTGGGACAAGCAGAGTGGTTATATTAAAAGTAATGAGTAGTAACTCTTCCTCGTATGTGTCAGTGTATGAGAGACTGTGGAATAAAATTCTTGGAAGAAGAGCTCTTGTTAAAGTACGTTGTAATCCACACTCTTAATTAAATTAAACGTGCCACCCCTGCCGTACATGGCATTTTGCAGTGGATTCACAAAGTAACGTGGAGGTAATTTGCGCATACTGTTAGCTACTACTGTACAATGAGTTGTTTCAAAAGGTTTATTCATTTTCCTGGAGTCGGAGTAGGGCAGTAACATAAATATCTGAACAGTTGTGAATTGTTACTGAAAGTATTAATATTAAAATGTTGCTACAATATTAAAGTGTTGCTAAAACAGCATACATGTTCTTGGATGGTATGGCGGTATGGATTGAAATTGAAAAATTGACAATGTCCGGGGCCTTTTCTTTTATTCTGCGATACCTTAAAAATTAAATGATCCGTTTCAGCAAACCTATTCGCAGAGTCTAGAATTTAAGGAGATAAAGTATCCGTGTTGGAGAAAATCCCGTGTGCGGGCCTGGTGCTAATGTAAAGGGATTCGCGGACGGACAGATGTATTTTTTACAAACTTTCAGAATCAGGCCTTCTCAACACCAATCTTTGGCTGCATTACATTTTTTTTAGAGAAAGTTGTATTACGTAAACGAGAAAGCAATGACCTTAAACATAAATTAATATTGATTTCATGAGATTGCTTGCAATCATATTTATTTACGTCACTACTTTCCAGCATTTTTAACCACCCTCCTATTTCTTCAAAGCGCTATTATGATCTAGCGAAGCTTGTCGCGTCTGAAACAGGTTAATTGGGGCGTTCCATGGCTCCGTCTTTATCCGAGTTACTGCGAGGACACGCGTTGTCACGCGTGTGCCGCGCTCGCTTACCTGCTCCGTCAGCCCGTGCACGACGCGCAGCAGGCGCGCCTGCTCCCGGCCCAGCGACGTGAGGCGGAACAGCCAGTCGGGGCGCAGCCAAAGGCGAGTGTGGCGCATGTGCAGAATGTCGCACAATCTGTATGACAAGTGGTGCACATGAAGTATTGAAGCTACATTTTCCCTGCGTCACTCATTTATTTATATTAAATCGTTAACTACTACTTGGGACTTCTTGAGAAAAAAGTATCTTACTTCCCTCATAGAAACAAGAATCGTTATCAACTTGTTTCTATGCATCATGCATTAATGAATGACAGTGATAACAATGCAATTCTTTTTAATCTTCTCGTTCAAATGAAAACAGATAAATTAAGATAAAACTGTATATTACATTTGTAATCAATGCTGGTTTCTGGTAGAGCTACAGGGAACAGCGAAAACAAAATGGAATGCGTCATCGCAAGGAAGTCATCGGATCTACTGAGTGACGTAAGGAGAAGTTTTCAAATATATGAGATCTCGGAGGAGTAATTAAGGCGTTTGCCAAACAAACACTACAACTCTCTTAAGACAGCTATTCAGTGTTGAATGTTCCATAGTTCGCTTACTTGATGACAGCAGCAGCATATTCGCAGCCATTTACACCATCTGTCTCTTTAGTAACGCCCATTGCCGTTTCTGGAACAGTAAATAACATCTGACATTCATGCTGAAGAAATTTATGAAATGTGAAGAGTTATAATATATTGTTTTGATGATTCAAGTTTGATACACATTATTTTCTTTACTCGATTTTGCTACACATAATTATGAAATTAATGTTGGAAAAATACGCTGTACTTATAACAATATTATTCGCGTGGCTTATAATATTAATAACTTAGAATTTTGCAGAAATTTTCACGGTTGATAACTGTCATTACTATTGTTTTGTATCAAAGAGAAAAGCATTAACAAGTTTCAGATAAATGCTGGTTCTCCTCACGGAATTACGAAAATCTACCATGCATTATATTTATATTTCTGAGCGTATCTATAGATATGATCTCCAGCGAAATTTGGCATTTGTATGTGAAAAATATTCAGTAATTCTACAATTCACTGAAAGGTGACCTTACTGGATGTACCACGATATGAAGTATTTTTACAGCTTTCTAATTACGATCACGTCGCTTCGGAAATGAAAGACGAACATAAACAGAAGAGTATTGTTAAAATGCTAAAACCTTAACTGCCGTTGTTTAAGGAGTGGCGATCAAGATATTTAACTACATATACTCTCCTAGTGAATTTGGAATATCTGGCTATTTTCTTTCATTCTGTAAATTTCGATTTCATTATACTATTCTGGACTATATGGACATAAAGCAATCAAACACAGAAAAGCCACTCAAAACGGCCGGTAACAGTCAAAACGAATGAGTTTTCCCTGAGATAGATATGAGTTCTCCTATTCTAAGAATCTTTGGTTGGTTATAAACATCGGTTTACAAACTTCAACCTTGTCCGTCATTTGAACTGTATTGCATTTTCAGTTAGAAGTAAGACGGCAATATATTTTATAATACTTTTCTTTTACATCGACTTAACACATCCAGAGAAACGAAAAGTCAGACTTAACGCCCACGTCCGTTATTATTCAAAAGCCCTCCGTCTGTTGTGAGCAATCGAAACAGTTGGAGCGCTCAGGATATTAACGGCATATCCCAACCGAACTCGCATTTTCAGTTAGAAGTAAGACCGAAAACGTGTCATGTATTTATCATGCGCTGAAATATGCAATGAATTGGAATATGGCAAAATCCTGCAAATCCACCTTCAAAAATTTGCTGGAGTGAAAGTGTACATAAATGAAAACAGAAAAAAATATTTTTCTCAAAACGAACTTCGGTTGGGGTCTGCCGTTATTATTCTGAGCGCAATGGTTGCAAGAGATGGCTTATGAGTACACTTATTCCAAGAAACAGTATTTTTCGTTTAGATGATCTCACTTCAGAAGGAGATGGTGTTACGAAAGGTATTGAATCACACATGACCGATAACACTAGTCTCGGTGAGTTATTTGCGTTTTATCTGTCTAGTAATGATAATAACTAGGGGCAAATTTTGGTTCTCTAAAACATCAACAAAAATGATCAATAAAATGCTCTTAAAGTGTTTTTAAAATGCATTAAAAGCATAGAAAAATGACGAAAAAATGTGATCAAAACCAGTTCAGATGAACAACTCAAACTGTTAAACAAAAGACTTATTAGTCACACTAGGCGAAAAGTGCCAAAGAATGCCGTGTACAGAGGAGCCACTGCACCTAGGAGGATGTCGACGGTGGCGGCGCCGAGCGGGGCGTGCACGTCGAAGGGCCGGCCGCCGCCGACCGCCGCTTGCGCGCGCAGGCGCTCCACCAGCGCGCGGCCGTGCGCGTTGAAGAGCGGCACGAAGCCCTTGAGCACGTGCTGGTGGAAGGCGGGTGCGATGAGGCGGCGGTGCGCGCGCCACTTGCTCCCTGCGCACACGCGCCTGCGCTGCATCACGCGCCTTCGACAGGGGCTCCCAGCGCCAACAAACCGGTTAAATGCAGTGTGCGTTGAATTATGGCTAGAAAACTCAATGGGTGTTGCTTTCAACGTCGGCGGTCAAACAAAACACGCCTTTTCGTACGTCGTCGGAATTCAGTGTCACCGGTGGAACATGGCATGCAGGCTGTTTTAAAGTCCACCCCAATTTTTAGGCAGACTATTTTTTACTAAACTATTTGAAGTCACACACGTTCATAACTTATTTTTTATAAATATACTGTTAGATAAAAATAGATACAATTGATAAAAAATATATTGAAGAAATTATGAACATGTATAACTTCATATAGTTTAGTAAAAAATAGAGATGTACTTTAAAAATTGTGAATGTCTAATAAAAGATACTTTTTATTACTTTTCAAAACATGGCGTGCGTTTACTCGAGTCAAGAGAATTTAATGAGTTTTGCTCCCAGCGTCACTGATTAAACATAACATAGTTTACTTATATCTAACAAATTAAGAAGGTTTTACTATTTGCATCACCGGTTAACAAAACATGCGTCTCCTTATGTCCAAGGAATTTAGGGGGATTTACTCTCTCTACCAACCGTTAAACATAACTAGCATTCACTTATTTCTAGGAAATTTAATGTATTTTCACTTTTTTAACAAGACTACATGAAGGCCCTTTAAAGAGCAAAGTCTCTTTTCTCAGAAGACTACGTGGGGGACGGCAAAGGGGGTACTCCCTCGTGTCCCAGACCCGGTGGGGAAAGATGGGAGAGAGAAAGGGAGGAGTTGGAAGACCGTGCGCGGCCTGTTCCTCCTCCTCCAGAGTGTTACTCCTGAATTGGTCTCAAAGAGATCGAAGAAACTATCGATAAGGGCAGCTCATCTACGAACATTACTAGGATAATTAAACTCCAGTCAGTATACTTAAAACCTGTAACTTTCAGATCTTTTAAGAGCCAAAATATTACTTAGTATTTAGTGAGAAAATATGCATTTATTTAATACTTTCAGATATTAGTATACAATTCAAAAACTTCAAGGATTTTATTTACAGGTCTGAGGAAGAAAGCAGGAGGCATAGAACCACACAACCAAATGGAGAGTGGGGACGTCATAGAAAGAAATTGCTCGAACGCATGTAGCTGTTAAGCAGCTGTTAAGCATTACCAAAACAAGTTAAGGAAGAAAAAGTGTTTCAACGTAAATTCGTACCTGAGCTGATGAGGAGCCCGTCTCCGAGCCACGGCTCGAAGAAGCGGTATTCAGCTGATTTGTCCAGATGCTCGTTGCTGCCAAGTACCAGCTGCGAATCACCCAAGCGTTGAAAAAAGTATTTTCAATTTTTTCTCACATTTATTTATTTGAAGACGATCTTAAGAAAATAATGCCCAACATTGCTTTGTTATTTATCAATTATGCGATAACGCACTCAACTTATATTATTAAACGAAGTGTTTTAATCTTATAATTCGTCAAAAAACAAAGATATTCGTGATGGAAATTGTAAAAACAGTAATTCGAAGCACCGAAAAAATATTTTACATTTTGTATTTCCACATTGAATTATATTGACACTAGTGAAGTTTATATTTTGTGTTCCATTACTATGTATTACATTGCATTGGATCTAAGTAATTAGATTTTTACTTGAGTCACTAATAACCTCAGTGGCCTTGACTGGGATTCTTTTTTGAACATATCGTGTATATTTAACAACATTAATTTAAATATTAATAACACCAACTTTCTAGTAATATATATTTTTTAAGTAATATAGTTTTTACATTTTCTAGTAATATATTTTTTCCCATATTTGTATCATCTAAAAGAGACACTGATTTCAAGAGAAAAATATCTCAAATAATAAGCTATACACAAATTTCTGGGAAGAGGTTTCCAGGTGGAATTTAAGCTATAAACACTTGTAATGAATATTCGTGTACTTCTAATTTGCAATGTCTGAAAACAACGAGAAATTCTTTAATGATAATTCCAGGTCTGAAACGTTGTATATAATTCGAGGAAATCCCGATCTATCACGTGCGACGCCCTCAGCCAGCGCACCGGCCAATTGGGCACATTTCCCACTTCCGCGCTCTTGGCTTTCTCTTCATCGTTGCCTGTAGTAGGGAAATCGTTGGCACGGCTCCCATGTGAATACATAGACCTTCAATGCGCTGCATTTATTCACGTTAGGAAAATGCGTGAGCGGCATTCGTTAACTCACCTCCACATCTCGGGGATCCACGAGGAAGACGAGAAGGCGAGGTCCAATCCACAGCCTCACAACTGCTGAATCTTCGAAGCACATTCGATACACGGTCTGGAACACATCTGTCACACGTACGAGCGTTAGATTCTGCTTTCTGGTTGAATATAGCGTCCGCACATTTACGAGTACACATTTTTAATTCGCATTGAAAACGTCGTTCGCATCATTCGCAATGAAGAAATCGTTAAGTTACCTGCAATGGTTCGTACATCTAAAATCCTCTGTTTCAGTATGAACTTATCAAGATTATCACTTTAATTATTCATACCATTCTTGAATAATGAAATAAACATTATAATAGTTCCGACCAATATCAAGAAGTATCACAATTCATGTAAAATTTGATATACTTGCATAAAATATACCTTCTCTATATTTAACAAAAAGAGAAGTACTCAGTCGCAAGTTGAACAAACGGCCATTTAAATTGTACATTTGTCAATCAGCTACAAACCTAATATTGTTTCAAGAGGAAATTTGTATTTTACTATCAACTTTATAACTTTAATTGAATAGTAAAATAATGTATATAAAGTAATGAATAAATTAGACATTTTCTGTAATTGTATTTATTGAGCTCAAGTTTCTGAAACGTATTTATTGAGCTCATGTTATAAGAGGGAATAGAAGTGTCATTGTGCTCATAAATATTAAACATTGGCACACACGGGACAATAATTCACCTATACCTAGATTGTGGATAACTGTCAAATAATATTTTTGGTGATAATTTATTTCTAAGGAAAATTACGACAAAAGGAACGCAACTTAAGGAAAATTACGACAATAAAAAACGCTGCATTAATACCCCACCTTACTAATACCTCATTTACTGTTTCTAATATCGCTGAGGTTTAAGTTATTAATTAAGATTGTAAGAAGGTTCATATCCTTGTAAAATAGTACATTTTTCCCCTGACGAAGGTACAATAAGTGCATTGTGAAATATTGCAGTTCAGAATGTGATGCAATGAGCGTTTTTTCTTGCTACTGAGGAATAAACTTAATATTCCTTATCCATAAATAATGTGCTTAGGAATTCATGAAGTTGTTGCTAAATGTCTGGCCACCGTTATTTATTTCCAGACATTTGCAATCTAGATTTTAAATATTTACCTATGTATCCTCAAGAGCAATTAAAAACTGTGTGACGTCGAGTGCAGCAGAAGTGCAACCTGTTCACGTTTTATTGAGCATTCTTGAGCTTTAAAGCATAATGGTAAAATGGACAATGAACTTGGGACAGTGCCTCAATTTGGGCGCAAACTGTAGCGAATATTGTTTTCACAAATTGGAAATTATTAATTACTAGTGGTCTGCAGCAGAAAATGCTGCTGCTCAAAACCACACAAAATACTATTAAAAAAAGTAACACACACTTTGCCAAAGAACCAGAAATAAAATACTCCCGTGTGACGTAATAAATCAAATACCTTCACAAACATATATTTTAAATTCATGAACTGTAGTATTATATTATGCAATAGTCCATTACATACCAACAAATATTAAAAATGCTGTTCCATAACGCAACACGTGACAAATCCTTAATGAGCGAGCAGCCTCTTCGTTGGAGCCTTGCCGTCGCTTCACGTCAGCTGCAGCTTACACACTCACACTGAGTCTGACAACGCAATCGTAACTCCAGCATGAGAATAGGTGGAATAACACGACCAAGTGATTGCACTTTTTAGTAAAAAGTATCCGGATTTTTCCAGAGTTCCTGGCTATAATAATTGACACCTCTAACATGGTCGGGGGCTACATTTTACTTTCTCGCCTTACCATGTAGTTACGCACGTTAGAAGTTTGAAACTTATTTTGATACTTGGGGTTACTTTACATGAAGTCTCAATGACATTTTCAAAATGTTATCAAAATTACTTCAATTATTTTATTAAACGTTTTCACCGCCTAGCGAAAATGTGTGTTTAAAAATGTAGCTTGTTTTAATTTTCGTTAAATTCTCTCAATTTTCGAAAACTTCAAAAGTACAAATATTATCCTTGACGTTTTCCTATAACTTAAATGTTGAACATAAGTTTTCTTCTGATAAAAGTCTCACCATCAAAGACATCTTTAAATAAGATTATGTCCAGCTTCTTTAAAAACGAATTATTTTCGCTAGACGTTAAGGCAATTTATAATTTTTTCTCAAAATCAGCTCCAATTTTTGCCTTTACATTTCTTAACTGGATTGAACTTCAAAATATCGCAACTCCCATTTCCAGCGAACAAAATATTAACATTGCAAAACTACAGTATATATTATAGAGTTTTCCCCTTATGTAAATCTGTTTTTTAAAACGAGATTTTGAAATCATGTAAATGGAAACTAATTTTTTCAAAATTGCAATGGAAATGTTCAACTATTTTAAAGCGTCGGGAAGATTGGGTGTAGCTGTAAGGTTGCTGGTCTAGGAATAAAGAGGATGGCGCGCTATTTCTAAGAACCTCAACTAAGAACCTTACCCCTAAGAACCCCATCGAATATCGATGATAGAGATCTTTTATTTAAAGAAATCTGTTCTAAATAATTCGATTATTAAGTAATGTGCAAATGACAACAGAAATCAGTACTCGTGACTAACAGCGGCGATCACTGGGAAAACATGACATGCCGCTGTGGAAAGTAAACGCAAATAAGACATGACGTCACAACACGCAGCTGGAGAATTCTGCCCGAATTCAAATTTTGTATTTGTAAAGTTATATATCTTATGATCCAAAACCTCGATTGAGCAGGATTTCACAAAACTAGAAAATGTACATAAGTCGTGGTTCCTTCATAGGAGGCGTTATGCAAGATCTATGGGTGACTGTATTCATACCCAGATATTTTACATGACGCACATACTTATAATGCCCGAAGAATTATTCCGTTAATCAAGTACATCGAGCAACTTTTTAAATTCCCTTCAACAAATCAAAACGTCCGCCAACATGATTCATTGCGCAAACATATTAATAAAACAGGGCGGAAACGATATAGCCGTGAAAATGTGCTAACGAATCAGGTCTCAACATACAACATAACAAGAAATGTTGTTGCAGAATAAGAATAAAAAATGGTTACAAAAATGTTAACCTACTCCGTTTAGCATAAGTTTGAAACCAAGAGACAGTAAGATTTACCAATATTCAGATCCCCCATCCTTCCCTCCCTTTTTTATAAACAAAGTTTTCTGTTCTATTTTTATACGAACTGTGAAAGGTTTAACACTTGTAATTACCAAAAGAATCACTTTATAAGTACTCAATATTAAAAAAGTTATTTACTTTATTTTGGTCGGAAATATGAAATTTTCACTTCCTTATAAGCAGAAAAGTCACAAGAATATTTTTTTAGAATTGAAACATATATTTTGTATTTGTGTAATATAAATATTTGCAGATTTTTTAAGCTTTTAGGAATGGAACATACTTCATTGAATTAAAAGGTATTTTGCAATATTATCTCTGCGTGTATTCATTTCTCATCAATTATGATCATCAATTCTTTTATGGCAGAGTAATAAAATACGATACACCTAATACGATATTCGCAAACTAAATCCAAAAAGTTGGAATGATAAGAGGTAGCTTTTAAGTGAACCATCCTTTATTTCAGCAACATTGCATTGCATAATTATCTTAATGTTTACCTGTATATACCGGCGCTGCAACAACCGTTGAGTGCAGAATCTAATCGGGAGGCCGTAGGGTGCAAATCCCGATAGTGTTAGGTTTAAGGCACTAGATATATAAGCAAATAGAATTCAGTCGCCGAATTCCGGATCCTAATGTACCACGAACAAAACGGGAACGCTCCCCTCCCCCTTCACATACATGCACTACATCATCACACATATCGGGAATCCAGTCAGGAGCGTATAGTTCGGCGCCGGATCTCTCGTTCCTCCGCGGAAGGGACACCACCACCTCCTGCCTCTATAATGTTCTACACTCACAGCTCTAATGCCCGGAGACGATAACACGAAAGGAATATTCACTCACTTTTTATCAGCATAATTAACTGCACAACTATTTGCAATGCATGATTATCAGCATAACCTTCAGCCCGAGCATAATTATATAGTACATTTGCACACTATGTACTTTCTCTTTTGTGTATCAATAGGAAGGTAATGAAATTGAAATTGGATAGTTCCTTCCGTGAGTACGTGAGGTCTGAGCGTCAGAGGACGTCGTCCCAGAACGGGATCTCAGCACGTAGATATATACAGGTGGTTGGTGGACATGAAACCCCGATAAGTATGAAGGCCGTACGAGCCTACACACGAAACCTAGTTGTACAAAGAAATGTAATTTAATTATTCGGAATAGAACAGTAGATTATATTATGTTCTAAAAAAACGGAGATAACACTAAAGAAAGTTATCAATCGCTCACTCTTATGTCATATCGTTATCCCATCCCCTAAGGGAAGATGACGGTTTGATACTATTCTTAAGAAACCATGCACACAAAAGTCTATAAGTGTACTAAATAGAAACGGATACCCAAGCCCTTCGTCAAAGATTTTTAAGAAAAAATAAATAGACTTTCGAAGATTCGGATATCACGAGAATGAGGCAACGTGCACTACAGGGTAACTACTAACATGTATCGCGTATTATTCGAGAACGATGGCACCGAGACCCTTAGAACCAGCTTTCTTTGAGCCGGTAGTCGAATTTGTTTCTTCTGCCGTAATATACACCACGAGACCTAATTGGACATTTTATAACATTTGGACGGTGCTCCACTCCTTAGCACAGTTTCTCAGAAGCACTTCATCAGTTCCAGTATGAAGCTATTCTTATTTTTAAAATATAGATTTAAAAAAGTCCGGAATAACCTCACGGGTCCAACTAGTTATTGAAAATGCACAACGATTGATAATACGAAGTTAATCGTCATTTGATGTCAATATCTTACTCACGCGCGAACGGCTAGTTTTCGGCAAAAGCAACGACACCGCATGTTTCTGTCGCCCGGGAGTTGTCAAACTCTGTACCGCTTAGAACGCGTTCGAATCCCTGGCCGCGATCGCAGTGTTATGATAGACAGACAGGACGCGCCGCGGTCAAAACGAAATCACGTCAGAAGCGATTGAAATTACTTTCACGTATGGAGCTATTTTCACTTTTAAAACAATGATGTACGGAATTGTTTCACGGGTCCAACTCGTTATATTCTTAGCAAGTACAGAAAACCGACTAACACAATGGTTGCGTAGGCTTCCGAGGCCGAAGTTTGTGTTGTCTAGGCTATCCGGGATGAGGCGCGTCACTGACATAGTGACTAACGTTTCGGCCAGCGTATTGTAGCTTTCAGATCGTACTGCTGCAGTACGCTCCGAAGAAGGCCACAATACGCTGACCGAAACGTTAGCCACCTTGTCAGTGACGCGGCTACTCCCGGATAGCCTAGACAACGACTAATACAACGTCACATGATCCTCTTCACGCACCCAAGGCTAAAGTTGTTTGAGTCGGAAAGCGGTAGCTGGTGCTCGCCCTCCGTCCTACGCTGCGTCGCCGGACTCACCCTCGTTGGCGCCGAGGAAGCTGAGGGCGTTGCCGAGCAGCGGCAGGCCTCTGGGTCCGGGCAGGCGGTCGCCCAGCCGCACGAAGCGCCTGCGCCGCCGGCGCCACTCGGCCAACCACGCGGCGGCCGCCGGCAGCACCAGCACCAGCGCCAGCAGTAGCGGCAGAGGCAGCACCCCGCCTTCGTCGCCCTCGCCCGGCAGCGCCGCCGCCGCCGCCGCCGCCGAAGACCCGCTCCCGCTTCCGCTCCCGGATCCCATCGCCACCGGAGAAATAAACGCCCCGCCGCCGCGCCGCCGCCTTTATACGCGCCGCGCTTCATTGCGTATGCATCGGCGCGGGCGACGACGGCGGCGAGGGGGGGATTCCGCTCAGGAGGACCTGCTTGCGTCACCCCTGCCCCCTCCCACTGCCCCCACTCGGCGTCGTTGCTTGCGGATTTGTATGGACTCTTATTGAGACGCTGCTGTTGGGTGGAGGTTTGTCATCTTGCTTAGGAGCTTTCGGGATCTGATCGGGAGCTTTCGGGAACTGAAAAATTTCTACACAATTAAAGAACATACTAAGACTGACCATTAACGAGTTGTGCTACAACAGCTCATACTTTCTCGTATTGACTGAAATGGTTGTAATTTCCGGAAATTTAGATAGTTCAACGAAAATGAGATCTGGATATCAATATATTACAATTATTTTGTGAAATTATGTTAAAATATTTTCAATGTTTTGCGTATACATATTTTGAAAATTTTCTTTTGTTACTGTTTTTTTCGGCGGAAAAGGGAGTCATAGTCTTTTTTTAAAACAAGTTATTTACATCGGCAGATACTAAACTATGATTGGAATGATTTATTATTGGAATATTTATGAGCTAAGTGGACCATAAAAAAACGTCGAAGATATCAAGAAGCGATTACACATGGTGTCGGTTTTGATTTTTTCTAATCATCCGATAAGTATTGAAAGACAAAACAGTTAAGAAAAGTTTTAATAATAAAAATCATAAACAATGAACCAATAACTTAACAAACATAGAGGAAAAACACGCTGGGGTTCATCGTTCATCCTCGTCTCTCCATCAATATGCCACTCTTAAGGCTTTATGTATAGTTCTCCCCCCAATCAAAATATCCCTTGGCCGTCGAGTTCGGCCAATCGATCAATGAATTTAAATTTTGGACAAAATCGTATGAACGGTTTAGGCGCTAAAGTTGACCACAGACGGACGAACAAATGCTTTGCTGTACATAAATTTTCGACATCAAGAATCCTCAAAACCTGCATTCTCACTACAAGATATATTAGAAGAATTTGCTATTTATAAGAACAAGATGTATAACCTTTTTTATTTCACGATCACAGAAAACGAGTTTTTCAGAGGAAAAAATGCAACTTTCCGCTGCAGCATTACAATACTTTCTTTTTATTACATATATACGTTGTATGCGAGAAAGTAAAAACGAATATTGAAAATTATTTAAAGCACGATGCAAATGCATTCGTTTTCCATTTGTAATGAAAAACAAGAATTGTACAAGTAATGTCACAAGTTTTGTACTTCAGATTCTGGGTTAATGAACCCCGCCTCAATCAGATTTTCGTAGCGTCCATTGATCCATACAGCCAATGCTGAGATGGCCGCTTGTTTTGATTCCGGTCTGTAAATGTAGCTTGCTATGCATATGTGTTGTTGAGCTCTCTATTGCTATCTGCGGTAGGAGAAGGTTCGTGGGAGAAGTACTATCAAACAGTCCTAGGAATAAATGTAGTGTATATCGTTGGCTTATGGTTGGGAGATAATGGGTCGGGTTTTCAAGTCTTCGAAATATTCTCATTGGTAAACATTTCCTAAATTTTCATCATTTCTACTTTTCTAGTACGGTGTTTAAATTGAAAATTTTCCCAAAATTGAATTGATCGTATCCACGTTTTTAACTCCTTTTCTTACTAAATTTAATAACCGAATAGTTCTATAACATAATACTTGTTATTATTGTTATTATTATTATTATTATTATTATTACTATTACTATTACTATTATTATGAAATACAAGTATTATCATCACGAAATACATTATTATTCAATGTTTTCCATTTCTCTCAAGGCTTCAACTCTTGACTCTATGTGTTTTCACTGATATGCTGACGATATTCCCTCCCTTTCTAGTCTTGTTTAGGGGTAATTCAAAAATATGTACGCAAGCTTCAAAACCTCTTTGTGAAATATTTAGTAGTACTTCTTGACCTTTCTCTGCCTTAAACAAGATCCTTGCAAACCTTTCGGTACCCAAGTTGCTGAGTCACGAATTATAATTTCTGTAAATTTGAGTAAATCCTTATAGCGTTCAATGCAATACATTTATGATTAATTTTGAAACATCCCTAACTTGAAAGAAAGAAATACATTTATTCTCACAAATGCTGTGAGAGTATTCTTTTTCTATCTACTCCTTCCTCTCTCGCTTTCATTCCTGTCTTCGATATGAGAAACCCCTCATCCAAATTGCGCACGTATTTTTCTTTGAATTACCTTCTTTTAATGAACATATTTTTGAAAGTTGTCAGGCGGAAGAGGAGGCTAAATGGCCTGTGTCTAGTCACTAATAAAGGTACTTATTTGTTTATTTATTTTCTTAAATCGAATCTGTAGGTTGTTTGTCGATATAAATACATCATAGGTTACTCGGCAGTAAAATTTCTTAGTTTTGAAATGTTACTGATCCCGCTGTGTTGATACCTTTATTCGTAATTTAACAACGTTAGCAATAGAGTGTGTTAAGGATTCTAGAGCTCAAGAAAACCTGCACAGATTATACTTCTCCCACTTTTTGACAATAAATACTAAATTAATCTAGATTGATTGATGAGAATAACCACAGTTGCCATTATCATTATCGGCACAGTATCCTCTTCATTTGCCTGTCTTTGAACCAGGATTAATGTTAATGCCTGTTCTCATCTCACCATTCCTTCCTTAGTCATACAGCAGTTTGCTCAGCGTATAGGTTGCCCTGGAATGGTTTCTAAAAGTACCCGAAGAACAGGCATTCTCCATTTTGTCTTCTATTGCCTTTTCGCTTATTGATTGCATTCCTAGTTCGTCCCTTATTGCTTCATTTCTGATTTGGTCATGTGCAGTGCAACCATCAAGTGATATGAAACTTCGTTTACATATTTCGAATTGTTAAAGTTCTTTATTTCCAGGGGAAAACGTCGTGGACTCATAAACATGCTGGTGTGTACGCACATCAGGACTCTATGTGAGGCTAAACCACCCAGGGTTGTGTCCTGATATGTACTTCTCAAGTACTAAGTATTGCCTAATTTTGAGGAAATGTAGACAAAGATCTTTTACAATTTAAATCTGCAGAGATAATTAATTATTGTTATTTACGAAATCTGATATCGTATACATTATCTTATTGTTGTTCTGCCTGACTCACAACCACTGACAATTTCTTTAGCTGCGCTGACTTGCCATGCTCTGTCATCGACCTTCCCTTTCCCATTGCAACGCTGTCACTAGAAGGAAAATTGAGTTCCCCCATGCCTACAGAGTAGCCGGCGCAATAAAATCGTAAGTCGCCATTTGCACGCTGGCCCTCGCCCACGCAGGGCTTCGTTGGAGGTCCCGTTAAAATCACTGCTGAGGTGGCTTTCTCCTCTTGTCGACGTGCAACCAGCACGCACTTTTTTGTCGGTACGATTGTTTTCAGTGCTATATTTTTTTATTTACGACGTTGCGATAATGTTTTAATTAGCACACTCATATGGATGATACAAGAAGCTTTATTGTTGACTTCATTAAAACAGTATTTATCGATGACAAAATAAAGAAGTGATTTGAAACAAACGAGTAACGTTACTATCTTATCCAAGATGTTTATCTACAAATATTTACAGAAATGTCTAGTGATGCCTTAAAATGGCACTAACTATCTCCGACTAGTTAATTTCCTATTCTCTTGAGTATTGACTAACTACTTATTTACATGATATCCCTTGGCCCCGGATCGAGTTTGCATTCTGTTTTAATTGTTCTGCGTGCAGGAATCCAGTTTCTCAATTACACACACAGTTCAAAGATTGCACACGCAGTTGCCTCCCAGGACAAGAGATTATTGATGGCTTAAATTATAGTTGTATAACTTGATGGACTCGAATGACACACACACACACACACACACTATATATATATATGCAAGTACACACATTTCACATCCTCGAGCACACCTGATTGAGGCAGAATAACTCGAGTTTACTACTTGTGAACGTGTTATAGTTAATAATAAGATAATAATAATAATGATAATAATAATATAACTAATCTTGACCTTTTTATGCATACGCGACCTTTCATGTGTTTAGAAACATTGTATGCATGTACCTCATTAAGTTTGACATTCGTTTTCATAACATCAATGCAAACAAAGTTACTTTTCAGCAATATAATCTATCAAAATTGCACTCAGTAATAAAAAATGTTCTCGAAACTGTAACTCTGCAAAAAAAGTACAATATAATATTTACAGCGCGTATCATTTAACACAATGTATTTTTGTATAATATTTATATTATATTTAGTGAAAGTAGTGTTTTCTTAAAAACATGTACACATTTTCACATTTCCCTCATTTTTGTTCCCTAATAGTAGAATTGAAATATATTTTAAAGAATATTATAGAAGAGTAAAACCTGATTCTATATGCAAATTTTCATTGAAAAATTTGCAACCGTGTTTTAAATAATGTCGCTTTAAGCCTTTACAAAAATGCGCAACTTTGAGCTAATTAAGCAGAAAAGTTTTCAGTTATCGAAGAACGTCATAAGAAATCATTTTGAGCGTTTGTACTCACAAATTCAATAATGTCTAAACACATCCGAAATGTAAATATTAACGACATGAGAGATTTCAAAGTATACATGTGTGTAATTTTGGAAAAATGAAGGGCAAAGAGAACGTTTATGACATGCTAACCAGTGCATTTAGTATTTTCCATACAAAATGTATTAAAAAATTGGGCTTCTTTCTGAAAACCTTTATAATATTGCTCATATTTCTCTAAGTATTTCATTAAAACTACTAATATTTCCAAACCACGTACCTAACATTAATTAAAGAACTATTTGTGGAGAACAATTTTTTTTACGAAAGCTCTATCTTCAATAATGTAGTTGTTCCAGGGGATCCAATAAACGAGAAACATTTACCATTTTCGAATATTCAGTTATGACAGTGAAAATCAAGCAATGGCATGT